TCGCTCAGTGGCCAGAATTAAGTCGCATGCTCTTTCAAAACCAAAACCGGTAAGAAAAATATAGGTATCAGGATTGATTTAAAACAATCATGATTTTTTTCCTGATTTGGAGATAGAGAGATCTTCTTCAAATACCTACACCTAGATTCCAAGGCAAAAGGAAGAATAAATGTTGGATAGTTAACCAATAGTAACTGCTATAGCATTAGTGTTAACATTTATGCTTTTAGTCCTAGCTACATGACAGTTTTTGAAGTCACTTTTCAGTTGTCAAGAATAAGGTAGGTATCAGGAAAAGAAACACAAAAATAGCTGTTTTTATCAATTACATTCTAGAACTGGTTCTACTAAATTCTTGTTGGATGACTTTAAGTAAGGCATCTGACCTCTGTTTGTCTTAATTTCCACATTCACAACATGATATAAATATCTGTCATGGGATAGCTGGAAAGATAATTACACTGCATAAATGCAAAGCAGTATCATTTCCACAACTTAGCTGCCCACACTGCCTGTTTATTCTATTTTCATGTATTCATTCATGTATACATCTTTTCAACAAATAGTTGCTGACAGTCTACTTAAAGTTAGATATTGGATGAATACTTTGGAATCAAAAAGTTTTCATCATGGCCCCTATATCTAAAGTATTAACCAATGAATTACTTAGCAGAAACTGTTTTAACTCTTGGAGTATAGAATCAATAAGGCAGTGTAAGATGTAATACAAGTAAGATAAAGTGGGGTAATGAGGGGTGTTGTATAATCATAATGATTGCTTCAACTGGAATGTGAACTGTCCTGTTTACAAAAGTGCCTGCAGCCAAATGTGTGAATCCACAGGTGCCTACATTGCTTTTCTTAGCTTAGGTATTGTTTGGTTTTAATATTTACTGTATATAATATAGGCAAAGCAATGATATGGATTTATGTTATAATAAAATAGTGAACAAAAACTGAAAGAAGATTGGTTCATGCATGGGCTACTGAGACAACATGAAATTGATATTAATGGACTAAGGAAAAAACAGCTTTCCTGATGAAGAACTAATAAAGAACTGTTCTGAAAGCTCTTCATTGTTTGGAATGACAAGGAAACATTGATTACTTTAAACTCAGCTAACTAACCGGTTGTCTTAAGAACCCAATAGCCCAAAGAGATTTTTCAATTTTGGAAATTTTTTCTCACACTTCAGAAAAATGTAAGATGTTAAAACACAATTACTTTTTTTTCTATGCTTGTTCTTAAAAAAATACAAGGGATAAGAGGGATTTTTTTTTTTTTTACCAGGATTTGGAACCCATTATTTATCTTTGTGATAGGATAACAATATATTTTGGATGAAGGGGATTTCTGGAAAAAATTACGTTTCTGAGCAACAATACTGGCTTGTGTAGGAAAGTAATAATAGAACAAGATTAGAAAGTAAATAGCTACAGTTTACCCTATTAAATGGGAATAGCAAATCATTAAAATATTGGTAATTTAAACATACCATAATTTGTATCTGGTTTCTCAAACAGTTTTGTGGATTTAGAACCAACATTTGATGGGAAGGAAAAATTCCCAACCTCAAAGTCCTCCTAGGATGTGTCAGGCCACCAGAAGAAAAGTTTGTCACTACAAAATAACTCCCTTAGCAGGGTAAAACTATATGTCAAGTCTATAGCTTTGGTGTGGTTCAGTGGAGTTTTATTCATAAGTTGAAACAATTTACAACTCTGCTTAACTTTGATATCTGGGGAACAATGTTGAGATCAGCTGTCAGTGACTTTGGGGTTCCTTTTGAGCAAAGGTATCTTGTAGTCTGCGAAGCTTGTGATCTACTCAGCCTCCATTCAAGCAAGGTTGAAGGGACTGCTGTTGAAGCAAGAATCACTCCAGCCCTGTCCATGCACATGGGCCACTCTTCTGTTGCCTTCTTCTACTGCAATAATTAAAAGTACTATATCAATAACTGGCAAAGAAAAGATAAAATGTTAGGGAAGTAAGATATTGGAATTAAGACCTTCTTGGCCTAGAGAGAAACTTAGTTGCTTAATGTAGTTGTGAGATAACTCATATCTATGGAAAAACTGGCCTTTTTTTTTTTTTTCAGTTTACTTGATTAAAGGAAAAGTGATAATAAGAAACACTCTAATGCTCCTTAAAAGTAACTCGGGGCCATTAACTACACAAAGTCTTTATGTAAATTGTCCAATTTAATCCTCTCAACAATCCATGACATAGGTTTTATCCCCACTGTACAGAGGAAAACAAATGGACACAATAGAGTTTAACTTACTCAAGATCTCACAGATATTAAGGATGAAGCTGGAATTCAGATACCAGAAAGTCTAACTTCAGAAACTGAGTTCTTACTTTACATAGACAGCCTTTCCTTTTCACCTCAGAATTTAGCTTTTTCCTTTATTGTTTCTTCACCAGAAAACCATCTTTTGAAATAAGTATTTTAAAAGTACAGTAGAAAGCTGTAACTTAAAATACCATATATGACATCACGCAATCTTAAGACAAAATACCTATTTTAGAAATCCTATGAATAATCTAGCAAAAATAATTACCCTATTCTTTAATGTAGTGGATTGAATAAAAAAAATTCTACTTAAGACAAGTTGAAATAATGTAAGAAAACAGACTTCAACTTTTTCCTTTTCATTCTGAAAGATATAACAGATTCAAGTGTTATATTCTCAGATCCTTAGATCTGACCATCCAACTTTTAACATGTTTCTTGTTTCTCTCAAATCATTTCCTATTTCTCTCAATTGCAAATGTATGCCATTTCCAAATTCCATAAGATTTAACTCTCATTCCATTTCTTCAGACAAGTTTTTTGCCTACTGCATCACTGAAAAAAACAAACAAACAAAAAACTGAGGCTACCAGGCTTGAAATCCAGGAATTCTCTCCTGCTAGACTAACAAATTTACCCAAATACATCCTTTCCAGTCTCCCCTGAGGTCTCCTCTCCTGGTTCAAATCAAATTCTAACAGTGCTCTTGGTTCCATTTCCTCCCATCTCTTTAAGGAACCTGAGTCATTAATTTTCTATCATATCATTTGTGCTGTTGCAGATTTGCCAAATACACTGCTACCATACCCACAACTTCTTATGAGGGAAAGCAATCCATCCATAGTTTTTGCAAAGGAGCAGCTATATTTTATACCATGTAAATTCTTATGTACCAACTAATTGGACAATGTGGGCAACTATTTCAAAGGGTAGCTAACTTATATGACCAAAGAATTAAGACATGTTCCTGCCATGAAAAGATAAGCAGGTCTGTCAGTTTCTTAAAACTTCTCGAAAGTTCTCACTGCTTTAAGCATGAGACCCATCTTTAAGTGAGGTGATTATTTATTATTAAAAAAGTTTTGAAATGATCTTTGATGCATGTCTTGTCTGTGAATGTCATTCACTTTGATGTGGAAGCAAGTTTATATTGTATAGTTGCTAGAACGCTAAGAATGTTAATATTGGAATAATAATGTTGAACATTATTAATGATAAGAATACAACTCCCAGAAGCCTATTTTATGGGTCTTAAATACATCATCTTAATACTGTTGTAATTAACTGGTTAATTACACTCCCCACGGGACCAACAAAGGGGAGATAGGCGCCTGCCCAGTAAGTGGGACATAGGGAAGGTGCTTACTGTCAGTCACACCTGAGAACAAAATGGGCATGGCCACTACAAGAGTGCAGAATTTGGGATATTTAATTTTCTAAAATAAAATCAAGCTAGGGCCAAATATCAAATGCATGACATAGGTTCTGTAAGTAGTTAGGGTCTGTAAAGATTGCTTCACTGGGAAGGAGTGATGCCTTTGGAAGACTTGATAGTTTCTTCATAGGTTAACGTTTAGAGGCACACCCCTCTGGATCAGAGAGGCACTTAAGGACAGAGTAAGCATGGAGATGACTTGCCAAGAGCAGTTTACTAGTGTCTTTGAAGGAAAAGCTACACTTACAAAGACTGACCCAAACTTCAACACTTACATTCTTTTTCTAACTGACCCATAAACTGGGGTTCAAGTGGAGAAAATAAGATATTGTTCAGAGTTACGATTGGGGGGGGGGGGGGTGTCAAAGATTTCTGAGCAATAACCAACAACAACAAAAACCTAGCTGCTGATGTCAGTCATTTTGCGTCGAGTTTGAACTTCTAACAGTGGCAGAGAGCTTGTTTGCTTCACATAAGCAGATGAACTCACATTTAAAAACGGAGTAAATCTGTTGGGCAATGACTCAATGCACCCAAATGATCCGAGTCTTACTCTCTAAGCCTTCAGGATCAACACACACAATAATACTCCTGGGGTGCGGCCTCACGTTAGTCAGCATTGCTGGCCTGGGTCAAGAGACCAAACCAAACGCTCAGGAATTAAATTTCCTGGAGAACTGAGCCTCCTTCCAGGTTCTCCTCCGCCTTGCTGTGAATTGTTTGTGTGCAAACACCTTGGGCCTCAAAAGGCATGGCGGGGGAGGGTGCAGGGTCTGCACTTTTACCAACAGCCTCGGGTGGACTTGATGAGACGGTTCAGACTATATTTTGAAAAGCAGGACAGAACGGGTAAGGATGGTGATACAGAGCCAGCTGTACAAAGGTGTCCTGTTTTGCAACTTGCGGAGGCTCAGGCTTAGTCCGGGCTTATTCACCCCTTTGGCCCTTCAGACAGCGGGGGCGTCGTGGCGTCAGCCCTGAGGCACCTGCGCCGGACGAGGAAACTCGCCCACATCCGGGCCAGCGACGCCGGCGCCGCCCAAACCGCCGGTCCCCAAAGCTCCTCGGGCTTCTCTCCGGTTTCATTTGAGCTCAGGGCCACGCGGCTCCTCGCCTCTTCCCGCCGGCGCCCACGGTCCACCACCAGCGACTGTTCCCGGGGAGGCTCCACCGGAAGCGACGCCTAATCCCGCCCCCCCCGCTCGCCGGAACCGGAAGTCGGCGGCTGCGGCCCCGGCCCCCGCCCCCCTCGCGGGCCCACCCGCACCATGCTCCGCGGCGCCCGCTGCCTGCGCGGGGCTCCCTCGGCTCCCTCCGCGGTCCTGGCGGTGGCTCTGCTGTCGTCGCTGTCGCGCTGCTCCCTCCCGGAGCCGGAGCCCCCCGCGGTCTCGGCGCTCAGCCCCTTCTTCGGCACCAAAACCCGCTACGAGGATGCCAACCCCGGGCTGCGGCGCGACCCCGTGTCGCCGCGGCGCGACCCGGAGCTGCTGCTGGAGGAGACGTGCACCCCGGTGCAGCTGGTCGGCCTCATCCGCCACGGCACCCGCTACCCGACGGCCAAGCAGATCCGCAAGCTGCGGCAGCTGCACGGGCTGCTGGAGGCCCGCGGGTCCGGGGCCGACCCGGACGCCGGCAGCCGAGACCTGGGCGCCGCGCTGGCCGCCTGGCCGCTGTGGTACGCGGACTGGATGGACGGGCAGCTGGTAGAGAAGGGGCGGCAGGACATGCGGCAGCTGGCGCAGCGCCTGGCCGCCCTCTTCCCGGCCCTCTTCCGCCGCGAGAACTACGGCCGCCTGCAGCTCGTCACCAGCTCCAAGCACCGCTGCGTGGAGAGCGGCGCCGCCTTCCTCAAGGGGCTGTGGCAGCACCACCACCCGGGCCTGACGCCCCCCGACGTGGCAGGTGACCTCCGGGGGCGCCGGGCCAGTCCCCTGCCCACCCCGATCCCGGACTTCCCCAGTCCCAGCCTCTCACTCCCCTCTGTCTCTCAACCCTCATCTCTCCCACGGTTTGGTCTGCACCTGGACTTGGACTTGGCCATCTCGCTTCTCATATTACATACCCCATTTATTTGTTCATTTATCAGCTGTGAATATGGCATCTTCCACGTGCAGGACGTGGTAGTAGACATCAGGGGATCCAGGAGGGAAAAGAGACAGACCAGGGCCGTTTCTGATCATCCATTCCCAAATCGAATTGCCCCCGCTGAGCAAACAAGCCCTCCTTTTCTTCCCTCCCTGGCTGCTCGTTCTGCAGTTGGGCACGCTTTAAATACCATCTAGGTTCTAGGACTTTCTTCCTCAGGCTTTGTTTCTGATACTATTTGGATTTTTTTTTTTTTTTAACATTTTCCCCCCAGATGTTGGTTCTAGACCTATGTCCCATATTAGGAAGATATTCTCAAATTTTTCTTACTGATCTGCTTTTTTTTTTTTTTTTTTCTATTTTATTCTTATGTGTACTGTAGAGTGACCTTCGTTGTAGCTGTGGTCCGTGGTAACACGCAGTACTTTACTAATTTATGCCATTACTTATTCTTTTGCAAAATTTGAGATTCCATCTGGCAGAGCCCTTTAATTTAAAGGTGGGACATCTGAGCCCAAGAATATGCCCTGTGGACTCAGGCCCAGATTCCCGGTCTTCTGTTTCCCAGGAATTATGCTTCCCCCCTTCAGAAAATGTTCAGTAGACACTAATAGCAAACATTTAATACCTGCTATGTGTGCAACAGCTCCCCGAGGTTGATAGTATTTTTGGGAAACAAACACTAAATAATTTTTCTAATTTGATATAGTTTGGTATGGACCCAGAGAATCTGATTTAGAGCTTGTCTCTTAATCCTCACACTATATAGATAACTTCTGTTTATCTGTAACTTAAGGATAAGAGTAAAAACATCACATTTTTGTGCCGGAGACATGATCGAGTGTGAATACTTTTTTGGTCAGTTTTAAGGTCAGGGTTGAGGAGAGACATCATTTCGTTTCCGAGTCCAAGTGAAAAATGAAGTAGACTGGTTTCTCATTTCTCCAGTAGCATCCCGAAGCAGTTCAGCCATAGCCCAGGGTTCTTCCATGGCTTGTGTGTCATGTTAATTGCTCTGTAGGTAATTTATTTGGCTGACTTGGAATTAGTCATTGTTGAATTGTGCTTTTTAGTTGCAGCTAGGCCTTTTTCTATTAATATTCCCCATAAAGAAGTTAAATTAACTGAATGTTGAAAGTAGAATATACTTTAGTATAGCATAGTTTATACAAGGTGGGGTAAAAGTAGGTTTACAGTTGTTCATGTGGAAAACGATACAATAAATAATGATACAGGAATAAACTCTGTTTTGCATACTCACAACCGTAAATGTGTTTGGCCCTCCCTGTATAGTATATATAAAAAAGGGCCATTGGACCTCCTAGGTGACATTGGCCTTGAAGCACGAAGCCAGGAACCAGAAGAGTCCAAAATAAGCCTACCCCCCCACCGTTTTCAGTCTCAGAATAAACATTTTTGCCTAGCTAATTATTATCTGGAGACAATCTGGCTGTTGTGTACATTTGGGCTTTTAAGGAAGGACATAATTACATTTTGTATTCTTACAGAAACAACAACGCCTTTGTTTTGGTTTAAAGGACAGCCGTATTAGATAATAGCAAGGATGAAATATCCTGATCCACCTGGAAAATTGTATTTTGAGATCACAAAAAAAGATGACAGATCATTTATCTTCCTACTTAATATGCTTTTTAAAAAAATATATTTTAGCCGAAACCGGTTTGGCTCAGTGGATAGAGCGTCGGCCTGCATGCAGACTGAAGGGTCCCGGGTTCGATTCCGGTCAAGGACATGTGCCTTGGTTGCGGGCACATCCTCAGTGGGGGGTGTGCAGGAGGCAGCTGGTCGATGTTTCTAACTCTCTATCCCTCTCAATTCCTCTCTGTGTAAAATCAATAAAATATATTTAAAATAAATAAATAATTTAAAATATATTGATTTTTCACAGAGAGGAAGAGAGAGGGATAGAGAGTTAGAAACATCGACAAGAGAGAGTCATCAATCAGCTGCCTCCTGCACACCCCCACTGGAGATATGCCCGCAACCAAGGATCGAACCCTGGACCTTTCAGTCCGCAGGCCGACGCTCTATCCACTGAGCCAAACCGGTTTTGTCTTAATATGCTTTCTTAAGAATTGTAATCTAATCTGCAGTTAAAGTGGGCAGAATAACCATTTCAGAACCTAAAGTGGAGATATATATATATGTTTTCCACACCCATCTAAAGCAAAACAGTGTAACTAGATTTAATTTTCTCATTTTATATACAGAATTAGTATACTTGTGTTCTTTTCATGGTCAATGAAAATTCATCCTAGTGGTTGAAGTATGATTACAAGTGCTTTTTCCAATACATATTTTCCTTCCAGAACCCTAAGTTGTACAGGAAATAACAACTTATAAATTTTTAAATGGGAAGTTTTTGGTTTGTTAGAAAATAAACCAAACCAGAAGCTCCTAACACAATGAAAAACAAAAGTGTAGATGTATTTTGTGCCATTGTTAGTAGTTTTTGTCCTAGGCATAGTCTTTTGTGAAGCAAACAGGATTGAGAAAGTTAATTTAGAAAATAAAATGTTGTGTTTAAACTTTGGCTTAGAGTAGAAAAATAGATTCTATCTGTTGAATGATCTCTAACCTAGTAATTAGAAATTTTGCTAATTTTTAGTTTTTCAAGTTTTCTGTGCCTAACAGAAATAATACATAACACATTTTTGTATGTTTTATGACTTTCATGGCTAACTTTTTTTTTTTTTTGCTTTCTTTAAGAAAGCATTCATTTCAATAATCTTTATTGTGTAGTTTTGTTATAACACATTTTCCTTTGATACTCTGTTTTAGTCTTTTCTAGCTTATACTCATGAATTACTATTACAAAAGGGAGTAGTTTTGCCCTATGTCTTTCTTGAATAATGTGTGCTTATTTTATACATGAATAAATCAATTCTTAGTGGGGTTTTTTTTCACACTTGAAACAAAACATTCATTAATTTGAAATTGTCGCTTATGTCTTTTCAGACATGGAGTGTGGACCTCCAAGAATTAATGATAAACTAATGAGGTTCTTTGATCATTGTGAAAAGTTTTTAACTGAAGTGGAAAGGAATGATACGGCTCTTTATCATGTAGAAGCCTTCAAAACTGGACCAGAAATGCAGCACATTTTAAAAAAAGTTGCAGCTACTTTGCAAGTGCCAGTCAACAATTTAAATGCAGGTAACGTACCTATTATCTTTCATTTGAATTCTGAAGTAGTTAAATGGTTTTTGAACTCTGAAAATGGAAAAAAATATGGAAGAATGAAGTTATTCCTTTTTAAAGGCCCACAATTGATTTTACAGTAAGAAAATAATATTTTGCCCTGACCGGTTTGTCTCAGTGGATAGAGTGTTGGCCTGCAGACTCAAGGGTCCCAGGTTCGATTCCAGTCAAGGGCATGTACTTTGGTTGTGGGCACATCCCCAGTGGAGGGGTGTGCAGGAAGCAGCTGATTGATGTTTCTCTCTCATCAATGTTTCTCTCTCACCCTCTCCTTCCTCTCTGTAAAAACATCAATAAAATATATTTTTTTTAAAGAAAATAATACTTTTTTGGTCATGCTTAACTATTTTTAGATTGAAATTCTTTGAGTTTTATGTAAATTAATGAACAAGATTCTTACTATATTCTGGAATTTTTTTGACGGCAGAGATATATAAAGTTTCCACTTTCAGCATTATATATAAAACAAAAATTATTTTTCCTGTCTTATCTCCTCATACAAGTGCTTTTAAAGCAATTCAGAAGTACATGTTCATGTTTTGAAAGGGTTAAGTTTTAGAAAGTGAAAGGCACAGTAGTGTGATTTATTTTATTTTTTTAGGCTTTAAACCTAGAGATGCCGCGAAAATGGACATTGAAGTAGAGGTATTGAAGTAGAGATGAGCTGACTGCATTTATCATGCAACCTAGGTAGGACACTTGAAGGTGAAAGTGACATTATTAATAATTATGCCAGGAAAGCAGATGGAAAACCAGGACATATGGTCACTTAGAAATGGAAAAAAAAAAATAGTTAAGAAAAAAATAGTTAAGAAAAATAGTTAAGAAAAATAGTTAAAAAAAAAAAATAGTTAAGAAAAATAATATTAATTTTTTTAGGAATTTACAGTGCATAAGAGTAGTTGTGACAGATATTCATACAAAGATTGTGGATTTCATTATATTGTGAGTAAATTTCCAAAATACTAGAAATAGGAGATATTGGAGAAAAAAAAATGTAGACTTGAATCTGACAATCATGAAGACTGAATGCTTAACATTTAAAGGATCAAGCAAGTGAAAATGCCTAGACGAGTTTAGCATTTAAACTTGAATTTTTTCTTTTCCCCAATTGGTTGGTCACTGCCAGTTTTAAAAATTATTTATTTTATTAGGAAATAATTCAAGCATATACATAATAATAATGGCTAGTATAATGAATGTTGTATACCCACACTTACTTTTATCAAATTTTAATATTATGCTTCAGTTTTTTTAGTATATTGAGGACTTTTGGTTCTGCTGTAGGATCTCATTCATCTCCTTTTCTCCCCAGAGGTAAATTGTAATAAATTGAGCATTTCAATCATTCCTTGCCAATTTTTTTGGTGTTTGTTTTGTTTTGTGGTTTTGTTTTGTTTTTTTTTTAGATTTTTAAAATAGATTTTTAGTGAGAGAGGAGGGAGAGGGAGAGAAACATCCATTGTCTGCCTCCTGTACGCCCCCTACTGGAAATCAAGCCTGAATCCTGGGACTGGAGCTGTTATAGTACAAATTTTTTTTAGTTTAATTGGCCTGAAATTTAGATATCCTCAGGGTTTCTCCAGACAGTTCCAGTTCCTCCCCTTTGGATTATACAGAGTTAGCCTTAATCTTTGATAGCCAGGAAGAAAGTGGCAACTAACTTTATCCAGGCTGCACATGGCATTCTATGGATATTTATCCTTTGAAAAATTGCAAAGTAGTAACCTACAAATTTTACCTTTCCCCCCTCAGATTTGATTCAGGTAGCTTTTTTCACCTGTTCATTTGACCTGGCAATTAAAGGTGTTAAATCGCCTTGGTGTGATGTTTTTGACACAGATGATGCAATGGTAAGTGTTAATTTTGCAGTTTCTTTGCTTTTTTTGCGTGATTTGTTGCTGCTTAAAGTATCTTCTCAAAAAATAATCAGGCCGAAACCGGTTTGGCTCAGTGGTAGAGCGTCGGTCTGCGGACTGAAAGGTCCCAGGTTCGATTCCGGTCAGGGGCATGTATACTGGTTGCGGGCACATCCCCAGAAGGGGGTGTGCAAGAGGCCGCTGATCAGTGTTTCTCTCTCATCGACGTTTCTAGCTCTCTATCTCTCTCCCTTCCTCTCTGTAAAAAATCAATAAAATATATTTTTTAAAAATAATAATAATCAGAGTAGGGAATATTAACTATCTTTGACTAACTCATCATTTTTCTTACCTAAAGATAGGGCCCACTTACTTATAACTAGTTTGGGTTCATAAAACTCTGGAAAATATTCTTCCATTGTGATTTGATTTCTAGGCCCATCTATAATTAAAAACAAATGTAACCCAATATCAGATTTTATTGCTGGAGAGGATTATCTCCTTTTAATAGGAAGCCAAGGCTCAGAGAGGATGAATGGTTTTCCAAATATCTGTTTCTTTTGTAACAGTTTGCATGATAAATTGAGTTCTGTTCCACCTGGTGATGCAGTAATTCATGTACAGTTTCTTTCTGCCTACATCATATTTTTTCCTCCTGAGTCATATACCTTCTTTGTAGATAGGCCTCTGGTGACTTTTAGGGAGGTAAATTTTGGCCAGTTTTGAGATTTTAGAAGCCAGAGAGATGAGGTGGGAGAGCATTAATTTTTTTTTTTTTTTTTTTTAAGTATTGAGGATTGCAGCATTGGATAGAATTCTGGAAATGAGATAGGGTGTTTTTATGTATGGCTCATTAAGGAATATAGACTTTTGAAACCTTAGTCATCTTTATCTCTTGCATACATATGAAACCTTCAATATTCCATATGAAAATAAATTAACTTCAAAATTTAACCTCAAATTTTGAAAAGTGGTACACTATTTTCCAGATAGAAGCAGGCTTTTAAGGTGAGAACTAATGTATCTTTGAAGGTAAAGGAGTGCTTTATTTTGTTCTCACAGACAAGTGACCAGCACGCAGGTTTTGCGTGTTATATTGTGCCAATGTGGAACGAGGCTTAGTGGCTGAGGTGGAAGAAGGGGGAAGGACCCTCAGTAGATGATGGCTTTAGGATGCTGAGCACCAAAAGCAATAGGTGTGTTATATTTTCTCTCTGTGATCTTTTTAAAGTGAAATGAGCACCATTAATAAGTATGCTGGTACAGATATAAACTGAGATTTATGGTCACCATTTATATATGTGTCAAAATAGTGCATTTCCCTTTTCTCCCTACACATATTGCTCTACCCTGACTGTCCTTCCTGTCTACTTAAAAGGATCTGTGTGATTATATTGGGTCCACCTGGATAGTTTAGGGTAATTTTCCCATCTTAAGGTCTTTAACTTAATCACAAATTCTCTTTTACTATGTGAAATAACATTCAGAGGTTCTAGGGATTAGGGTATAGACATCTTTGGGGTCATTTATTCTGTTAACACATATATGTAATCTTTTTCTTTTGCAAACCTCAAGAAACTTCACCCTTAAATACTTGGGCATGCCTCTCAACAAGAAGATTCTCCTACATAACCATAATAAACTATAATTATATATATAGAACACATGTCTTTAATAACCCACTGTTCTAATCTACTGAATTCAAGTTTTCACATTTGTCTTAATAAAGCTCTATATTTGTAGTTATACATAGGTATATATAATCATTTTTATTGATTTCAGAGAGGAAGGGAGAGGGGGAGAGAGAGCAAAATATCAATGATGAAAGAGAATCATTGATCAGTGCCTCCTGCTCACCTCACACTGGGGATCAAGCTTGCAGCCAGGCATGTGCTCTGATCAGAAATTGCATAGGTTGATGCTCAACCATTGAAACAAGCAAGCCAAGCTCAAGTCTTTTTGATGTAAAGTTTTAATAGTGCAAATAGGATTTTTTATTTTTTAAATTTATTTTATAAATTTCCAGTTATAACTACTGTTTCATTTCTTTCTTTTTTTTAAAAAAAAAAAATTGGTTTTTATTTATTTATTATTTTATTATTTTAAAAATATATTTTATTGATTTTTTACAGAGAGGAAGAGAGAGGGATAGAGTTAGAAACATTGATGAAAGAGAATCATCGATCAGCTGCCTCCTGCACATTGCCCATTGGGGATGTGCCAGCAATCAATGTACATGCCCTTGACCGGAATCGATCCCAGGACCTTTCAGTCTGCAGGCCGACGCTCTATCCACTGAGCCAAACCAGTTTCGGCTACTGTTTCATTTCTGATACCATTTTGTTTTATTTTCTGAATAGATTTGATATAACTTTGTTTTTATTTTAGTGTTTTTACTTTTTAAAAATTTTTACTTTGGACTTTTTGCTAACTTTCTGATTTAGATGCCTCTTTAATGTATGTTTAGTTTTGGTTTGGTTATATGGCACTAGCCTGCTCTTGCTTATACTTACTTAGTTTTTCTTGTAAGCATGTCAAACTCATGGCATTAAATGAGGCATATGGCCCACCCACCGCCTGAGAGTTTGACATGCTTGCCTGAGGTCTCTTGGGAAGAATGGCTCATAACTACTACACAGGCTCTCATGTACCTCTTTTGGGTTGCAGGTTTTAATTCTCTAGTTTTGGTTTTTTATCTGATCAAATAATACTTGTTCAAGTAAAGAAAGACTACTATAATCACCAACTCCTATTCAAGACCACTCCATAGATTAATTACTGTTGTCAATTGATGTATATCTTTCCACCCTTTTCTATGCTATTTATAATCTGTATTCTTCTTAAAAATGCAAACAGTCTAGTGTCTGTGTCTGTTTTGGTAACAAATGGTCATTTTACTATTTTTATTCTTAATTTGTTCTTCTCATTCAGCAGTATATCTTGGAGAGCTTTTTTGTCAGAACTTGTAGATCTACAATATAGAATTTTTTTCACAATGAATTTTTTATTTTTTTATTTTTTTTTTAGGGAGAGAGGAAAGGCCAGAGAGAGGGAGAAAGAGAAACATCAATTGGCTGCTCCTGAGTGGTCCCTATAGGAATCAACCCAGGTTCAATGCTCTGACCAGAAATTGAACCAGCAACCTTTTGGTGTATGGTATGATGCCCAACCAACAAGTTCACACTGGCCAGGACAACAGAATAGAATTTTTAATAACTGCATAGTATTCCATAGGATGTGAATACTATAGTTTAGTTAACTCTCTGTAAATGATATTTCGTTATTTCTGGAATTTTTTTTGATTCCTGTAAGCAGTGCTGCTGTAAGACATTCTTGTATGTTCTCTCCTGTGTTCCTCTGTGAATATTATTTTATTAGAAATGGAATTAAATGGGTCTTAGAGATATATGTTTTTATGGATTTTGCCAATTTGCCCTTTGAATATCTATAACAAAAAATATACATTCCTTTCAGCAGTACCAGTTTTCCATATTTTTGGCCTACTTTTATTCCTTTTATTTTTGCCAAACTGATACATTAATCAAAGTAACTCATTTTCTGATTTCTACCTTTCTAAAATTCTTAAACATTCCTGATCTGTTCTAGGCATCTTTCTGTACTGTAATAATATTCCCGTGTGTATCTTTTATGTTTCTGTATATATTTTTGCTCTCATCTTAATATAATTTTAGAAGAAAGAGGATGTGAACACATGTCTTTAATAACCCACTGTTCTGAATTGTTATGGATGCTGGACTTTTGGCTGAGGTCTAACTTGCTTTTATATGCTGTCCTCTAATTCCACAATTTAAATTTACATGTCAACACATATCTCTGTGTGGCATAAATCTTTGGGTCCAATTAGTAAGTACTTGAAATGGTAAATGTAAATTAGGGAATCTGTTACATGAATAAAAATGTAATGATTTAAAAATGATTTTTAAAATTTTTATTTTTAGGTATTAGAATATTTAAATGATCTGAAACAATATTGGAAAAGAGGATATGGGTATACTATTAATAGTCGGTCCAGCTGCATCCTGTTTCAGGATATCTTTCGGCACTTGGACAAAGCAGTTGAACAGAAAAAAAGGTAAAAACTTAAAAAATAAATTTTTTAAAAATCTTCACCTGAGGACATGTTTATTGATTTGAGAGAGAAAGAGAAACATTGATTGGTTACCTCTTGCATGTACCCCCACCAGGCACCAAACCTGTAACTCGGGCCTTTTGGAATCGAACCCGAGGCCTTTTGGAGTACGGGATGATGCTCCAACCATCTGAGCCTCACTGACCAGGGCATGATGTATATTCTGAGTGCCCAGTTAAGCTTATGGAAAATATTTTTTTTTATGGGTGATTTTTTAAAAATATGTTTTGCCTGTGTATTTGGCTCTACTCAGCAAAACAGCCTAGATTTGCTATTTAACCATTGTTGCTTTTTGAGCAGCTATGATTAGAAAAACAGAATGAATTTAACAAAGAAATGTGATGTACCTGCATTTTATTCTACTATTTCCGTACCCATTATTTCTATCAGTATATTTCTATTCTGCTTTTTCAAAGTAAAGTTTATATTCTGGAATGTAATTGCTTGCCTCATGAGATCTTCTTTTTGTGAGTGATACTTTCAGACACCAAAATTAATTGCTATAAATATTTGTTATTTTCATTGAATAACTTTCATTATCCTTTTTCTAACTTTTTATTGACTCTCAAATCTCTGGTATTTTCAGATTTCCACTGGATAAGGGTATGGCTTTTTAAGGTTGTGTAGTTCCATATTTTAACATAAGATGGCAGCATTGAAATAAATGTATAAAATAGCCATTTGGTTAATTAGCCCATTTTAATAAGAGAGCTTTGTCTTTTAAAGTTCTTAGAAATGCTTGTAGATTCTAAGTCCTCAGAACCTATTTTTAATGATCTTTTTGCTAACTTTCTGAAGTTAGTGTTCCAGGGAATTTTAACTCAGTCTACCAGGAGGTGCCACTTCAGTTTTAGTGCTAGTTATTGAAAGAGATGATCTAAATGAGGGAAAAAGCAAGGTACTCAGAATGCAGATTCAAATGGCCAAGTTGCTTCTGGAAAGATACTTTTTCAAATGGCCAAGTTGCTTCTGGAAAGATACTTTTTGACTCTCAGTGGAACTTTGTTTATTTCACCGCTCTCTCCTCAGTGCCTGTGAACAGTGTGGAATGCAGTTGGAACGCCCAGTGGATATGAAGGACTATCCACAATTCTTTTTCTTCAGTATTCCCTGTTTTTGTCAATGACACCATCAACCTCCCAGGCAGCCAAGCCACAAACCCATACATTATTTTTACTGTCTATCTCATCTTCTACATCTATTCATAATATTGTGATTTTTTTTTTCTTTTGGCTTCCAGTTTTATATCAATCTCCCACTTTTCTTCACCCCCACTGCTACTGTTATTGGTGAAAGTAGGGGTCCATCTGTTACTAATGGGAGTGGGCTTCTTGCTATATCCTGAGAAAATGAATTTTCTGAGATTCACAGGAGATGATGAGATATTGTAGAAAGCTTTATTTCTGTGGAAAGTTTTATTTCAAATCCTTTAGTTTTCAAAGTTTAATTTCCCTCATTACCACCAAAGAAGAAGTCCCATTTTGCCTTTAGCAGGGCTGAAATCAGAGCCAGTGTCTAGAATGTTTGTCCCATATTTGCACACTCCAGTCCAGCATCAGACTAGCTTAGCTTGTGTTCCCAACTTCAGTCCATTAGTCCATTGTGTGTGGAGTCTGCATGGCTGTGGGCGTACAGGGGAAATGGAAAGAACCGGGGACGAGAGAGCTCCGTGAGCCAGGAGCAGTACGAGAGAGGGTTTCTTCGTTTAGGGATTATGCCTTCCTAAATGTTCACAGGCCTGCTTCGGCTGCATCCATTCTGGCCAGTCCTTGGTTCTCCAGGCCTGATAGTCCCTTTGTTGGACTCCTTTACCCCCCAGTGATCTGCAAGCTGCCCAATGGCCATGCTTTTAATGTCTGGCCTTCCCTTTGCTCCTTTCCTATTACCAATCCCTAGCTAATTACATACGTATCACTACCAGCTCAGTTTATGCTAGCTAATATCTTCTCCTAAATTTTAGCACCTGCCTCCTAAGTGCTTTCCTAAATTTCAATATTACTCCGTTCTAACACAGCTTATGCAGGCAAAAGGTGAATACATTTAAATTACTGTCTCAAAGAACTCATGTCTGGTTTGGAGGATATTTGTAAAAGTGCTGAAGGAGAATAAATTTGAACTGTGGTTTGGTAAAGGCTTGATGAGAGGGAGGAATCTTTGAGATTGGTTACTGAAAACTTCTGCCACTAACGTCAGCCTATCAGCCCTTAATATTTTTTATTTTTTTTTAATAGTCTTATTGAGGTGTAGTTGATATAAACTGCAATACTTAAAGTGTTCAATTTGATGAGTTTTTATATATGTTTATACCCATGAAATTGTCACCAAAATTATGGTAATGAAATATCCATCACATGCAAAGATTTCTTTTTGATTCTTTGTAATCTACTTTCCACCCCCCCCCCTACCTCCATTCCAACTGGACAACCACTGATCTGCTTTCTGACACTATAAATTAACTTGTGTGTGTTTTTTTTAGAATTTTATATACTGGAATCATATAATACATACATTTTTTTTATTTGGCTTCATTCACTCAGCTCAATATTATGAGATTTATCCATATTGCTGTGGCTATCAATAGTTAATTCCTTTTTAAGGCTGAGGAATATTCCCTCCATGGGTACACCACAATTTGTTTCTCCCCTCTCCTTATGATGGACATTTGGGTTGTTTCCAGCTTGAGACTATTATAAATAAAGCTCCTATGGACCTTTGTGATCTTTATATGGACATATGCACATCATTTCTCTTGCATAATATCTAGAGCTAGAATAGCTGAGTCATATATAGTTGTATGTTTAACTTTTTAAGAAACTGCCAATGTCTTCCCACCAATGTATGAGAGGTCCTATTATTCTTCATCCTAATTAATACTTGGTATAGTAGATCTTTTTAATTTTAGCTTTTATAATGGGTGTTTAATAGTATCTCATTTGGTTTTAGTTTGCATTTCCCTAAAAATGAATGATATTGAGCTGGTTTTCATATTTTTGGGGGCTCCCCTTCTCTGTGCTGCAGCCTTGAAACTCCAGGCAGTAACCTGGGACAGTTGATGGGATTTGCCTTCCTTCACTCTTACTCTATTGTTGAATGTCTGAAAAATGCTCTTATATTTTGTCTGATTTTACAGTAGTTCAAGGCAGGAAGGTAGATTGGTCCCTGTTATTCCATCTTGAATGGAAGCAGAATTTATTTTTATGTCTTTGCTTGAAAAAAAGTCTTTATGCTTGAGCCATTTTAGTTCTACATTTGTGTTAAGCTGTCAGACAGATGCTTCTCCAGATGCCTCATTGGAGCTGATATTTCAATCAGATATGTAAGAAGATTTTAAAAAAAAATTTCTGTTAATTTTCTTCCCAAAGCTTCTCGTATTTCTGGCAGTTCATGTTGCTTATTTGTGCACTTACATAAGTAATGGGATTATTTGGATCATGTTTAAAAACACCTCTTTCATAACATTAGTTGAGTGTGAAACTTGAATTAAGAGCTTAGAAAGATCTAAGATGAGTATATTTAGGGGAAAAACATGTAATTATTGTTTTTCTGGTTGAACTTTTTGAGTGACTTGAAGTGCTTTTTTTGGAGTGTTTTACCTATTTTGAAAAACACATAGTAATCAGCCTTTATTTAATAACAGAATTTTAGACTTCAAATTAAATGTCACTTTTAATTAAAGGTTTAATAAAATCTTACCAGCTTATAATCGTAAAAGAAGGTTGTAATTTGGAGAAATGCATTCTTGCTATAATAGATAACATTAGGCAATTCACTTGTCTTTCTTATTCCTAAAATGAGATAATTTGACTAATTCTCAACACTAAAACATTGATTCCAACAGTCTATTTCTATATATACATCCATATAGATTAATCACTTGTTTTCTTATATTTGTATTGATACTTTACATTTTTTAGAATGTCCTTCCTTGGGACTTAGGTATATAATTCAAGAGCTTAGCAGATGTGTGACACTTCTAAAATTTATTCTCTGTTGTAAAAGAAGAGGCAAAGCAAAAAATAGTGTGTTCCTGAAAGGAACCAACTTACTTACCAGAAATTACTGATTTATTTTACAAAAACTTGGCACATACCGTATTTTCCGGCATATAAGACAACCCCCTAATTTTACAGTTAAATCATAGGTTTAGGCCTATATTTGCTGTATAAGACTACCCCCCACTTCAAAGAAAAGACTTACTTTGCCGTCAAGATCTGCAGGTAATTTTTGTACAATTTTGCCCCCAATTTTCGGTTTACTTTTTTTCGTTTCAAAGGTCGTCTTATACGCCGGAAAATACGGTACCTTTAATGGCCTTTGATAAAAATTGGATCATAAATAAAGACTCTTACGTATTTGCTTTGACATCTTTAGAGTTATAAAAACCAATAAAAAAAAGCACTACTGTATTTGTGACCACACACAAATTCCATAACTCTTTAACCCCCACTAATCGAAGATATTTAAGTCTCCAGTTTTGATGTTTGGATATAATTTAGAATAGAAGTGTTTTTCCATTTAACATTTAATGCTACTTTGTAAAGAAAAATTGAAATGTAAGTCATCTGAAAGGATAAACAGGTATAAGCATGAGCAGCTGTTTAAGATGGATTATGTTAACTCTTTGGAATAAAAATAACCACTTTTGAGTCATATAAGTGGTTATTCCCATGGCAGTAGGTTTTTTGTTGTTTGTTTTGTTTTTAATAAACTCTTTTTTAGATTAGTTTTAGTTTATAGCAAAATTGAGCAGAAAGTACGGAGAGTTCCTTTCCCATACACTCCTTTGCCTACCCCTTACTATTGACATTCTATATCACAATGATCCATTCGTTATTGATAACCCTCCAACGAAACATCATTATCATCAAAGTCAGTACTAGTTTGCATAGAGTTCACTCTTGGTGTTGCACATTCTCTGGGTTTGGACAAATGCATAATGACATGTATCCACCATTGTAGTATTATACAGAATAGTTTCACTGCCCTACAAATCCTCTGTTCTTTGCCCTATTCATCCTCCTCTAACTCCAACCCCTTGGAAACACTGATCTTTTTACTGTTTTCATAGTTTTACCTTTTTGAGAATGTCATATAGTTGGAATCATATGCTATGTAGCCTTTTCAGATTGGCTTTTTTCACTTAGTAATATGCAGTTAAGTTTCCTCCATGTCTTTTCATGGCTTGAGAGTTCGTTTCTTTTTAGCGCTGAATATTTTATTATCTGGATGTGCCACCATTTATCCATTCACCTACTAAGTAACATCTTGGTTGCTTCTAAGTTTTGACATTTATGAAAAAAAGCTTCTGTAAATGTCCATGTTTTTGCATAGATAACGTTTTTAATTCACTTGCATAAATACCAAGGAATATAAGGACCATGTGGCAAAAGTATGTTTACTTTGTCAGAAACTATCAAACTGATTTCCACAATGGCTATATCATTTTTTCAGTAAGATACCATTAAGCCCTCTTATTTTTTATATATTGTTTTATTGATTTCAGAGAGGAAGGGAGAGGGAGAAGGAGAGAGAAACATCAATGATGAGAGAGAATTATTGATCAGCTACCACCATCTATACTGGAGATGGAGCCTGCAACCTGGGCTTGAGCCCTTGACCAGAATCGAACCTGGGACCCTTCTATCCGCATGCTGATGCTCTATCCACTGAGCCACTCAAGCGAGGGCAGCTGTATCATTTTGCATTCATACCTGCAGTGATTGAATGAACTCCTATTGTCAGCACTTGATGTTGTCAACTTTCTGGATTTTGATATGTAGTGGTATCTTGTTATAATTTGTAATTCCTTACTGACATGATGTGGAACACCTTTTCCTTTACTTACTTGCCATCTGTATATCTTCTTTGGTGAGCTTTCCAGGTCTTTTGCCCATTTAAAAAATATATATTTTTATTAATTTAAGAGAAAGTTGAGCGAGGAAGGGAGATGGATAAATAGAAACACTGATCGGCTGCCTCCTGCACACACCCCGCTGGGAATTGAGCCTGCAATCCCAGGCATGTGCCCTGACTGGGAATCGAAACTAAGAACCTTTTGGTTCTTTGGTCCATCCATGCTCAACCTCTGAGCCACACCAGCCAGTTTTTTGCCCATCTTTTAATTGGGTTGTTTCTTACTGTTGAGTCTTAAGAATTATTTGTATATTTTAGATAACAGTCCTTTGTCATAGATGTCTTTTGCAAATATTTTCTCCCAGTTTGTGACTTGTCTTCTCGTTCTCTTGACATTGACTTTAGCAGAGGAGAGTTTTGTTTTGTTTTTAATTTTAATTAAGATTAGCTTATCAGTTAACTTTTATGGATCATGCCTTTGGTGTTACATATAAAAGTCATTGCCATATCCAAGGTTACCTAAGTTTTCTCCTTTGTCATCTGCTAGGAGTTTTATTGTATTGAGTTTTACATTTAGGTCTATGATCCTTTTTTAGTTAATTTTTGTGAAGAGTCTAAGATCTTTCCAAATTCATTGTTTTTGCATGTGGATGTTTAGTATTCCAGCACTATTTGTTGCAAAAACTGTTTGCTCCATTGCTCCTGTATTGTTATTGCTCCTTTGTCATAATTATTAGTTAGATGTTTTACTCCTTGAAGAAGATTGCTTTGTCATATATATTCTAGTTTCAACACTTGAACCACTAAAGATTACTAAGTTGAATTTCAGCTTATAAAGTAGAATAGTGAAGAAAAGCAGTTATGTTTGAGACAAGTGACTCATAGTTTAAGCTGTTATTTAATGGCAGTACTTTTGAGTTAATGCAAAAAATACCTAACATTCTTTTAGATCTTGTAATTTATTTAAAAGTGTGCTAAATTCTGTGTCTTACTCTTAAAGCCCAAACTAGACATTCAGTGAGCTCTGTATTTTTTCTTGAAATGCAAAAATCAAGAAGAATGAAATTTCAAAAAACATTGATTCTTAGGATGGGTCCCAGCTTTGGAGTTATTGCATCATGGCTAGAGGACTTAAACTGTAAACCAGTATTTCTTTTTAACTTGTATCACTATTAAATTGCATTATATTTACATTATGGAAGTGGTATTAGCTTTGACTTGCATATGCTCAAATGTATAAAGGGGTCTGGGAAGTAATGAGATATCCTATGTGAGTTAGCATGGAGTGATGTATGTCCTGTGTAACACATTTATGTCCTCTCTGGAGGGTAATCCTCATTCCTATATACTGATTATTGCCTTGTGTGAATATATATGTTGCCCGATCTTTCATTTTTTCAAGAGGAGCCAAAAATAAAAAATAAAAAAATCTGGATTTGTAAGAATCTGAAATCACCCAGTTTTGAAACTGACAAAATAATGCAAAATTGAAAACTATTTATGCAGGTGAAATCAAATATAGTTATGGTCTGAATGATTCTGCTTTGGGGACCTAAGGGGATGCTTCTTGGAAATAAATACAAGACTTTAGGTGCTTTAGATGCCCTGCTTAATGTATACCAGTTAAGAAGAGAGGCTTATAAACACTTGTTGATGAGAATGTTGTATGCTTCTAAGTGTAGAAATTATTTTCTTTGACACGGATACATAGACATTCTTTTTCTCAATTTCTCATTTAAGGTCTCAGCCAATTTCTTCTCCAGTCATCCTTCAGTTTGGTCATGCAGAGACCCTTCTTCCACTGCTTTCACTCATGGGCTACTTCAAAGACAAGGAGCCCCTCACAGCTTACAATTACAAGGAACAAATGCATCGGAAGTTCCGAAGCGGTCACATTGTACCTTATGCCTCAAACCTGATATTTGTGCTTTACCATTGTGAAAATGCTAAGACTCCTAAAGAAGAATTCCGAGTGCAGATGCTATTGAATGAAAAGGTGTTACCATTGGCTAACTCGCAAGAAACTGCTTCTTTGTATGATGATCTGAAGGACCACTACAAGGACATCCTTCAGAGTTGTCATACCAGTGAAGAATGTCAAATACCAAAGGTGAACAACACATCTGATGAACTATGAGTAACTGGAGAACATTTTTAATTTATCAGGAATCTATAGGGTGTGATTACATGCTTGGAATAGGTGGGCAATCCCTGGTTACAGAAAGCTTTCACATTACTTGGGCATTTCTGTCTTCATAGAAAAACATTGAGTTTCTTTTTGAATCTGGATATGAACGTGTAAGCAACAATTCTTCACTGGAGCAGCTCTCTTAAGGGGAAAAATATTCAAAGAAATAGGTGGCATTGCAAATGTTTACAGAAGTTAAATTCTTCCTATTTTTACAAGAAATCTCACACTGAGAATATGTTTTCAAAATAATGCTTGAAAATGCTAGAGTAACAAAGTATGTCAGTTGAATGATCCATAACTTGATTGAACCAAGTCCAGGAACTTTACCAGTTGTGCTGCAATTCTCTCTTTTTTTTCCTCAAGTAGCATAATACTAGTATCATCTTTCATAATCAGAAATATTTTGATAAACTGGGAATATCATTTTGGAAGAAAACTAAGATCTCTGAGAATTCGAAACAATATTAAGCAGTCTGATGTAAAGGGACACTTTCATTGAAGAAAGACAAAAAATAAAATACAATAAATATTTTTGTTAATAGTATTTATAAAGTATTTGAAGACTTTTCAATAATTCCTTTAGACTTCTATTAAGTTCTACAAGGCCAGTGTTTAATTATCATACCTAATTTATATATATAACAATAGAAGGACAAAGAGGACTGTTAGCAAAGTTTCTTTAATCCATTGCTTAGCAGTTTTTAGCATTCTGTCACTTTGCTTTGGTTTTTATACAGGGTGTCCCAAAAAATGTATACACTTTGAAGCAATTAAAGCAATGTTTATAAAAAGACATTTCATTTTCAAAATGTAGTAGAATCAGCTGTTAAAATCAATTTTGCTATTATATCTTTTGAAATACCTTTTGGTTGCCTAATTTTTTTTATTCCTTTTGTTTATTCAGAGAAGAAGGGATAGAGAGAGAAACATCAATTGGCTGCCTCCTGCATGACCCCTACTGGAGATTGAGCCGAAAACCTGAACATGTGCCCTGACCAGGCATCAAGCCTTGATTTCATGAGTCAATTCTCAGTTACTGAACCATACTGGTCAGGCTCTTTTTTAAAACAAAGACTTTATTCTGGCTGACTTAGTTTCACAGATATGAACCCATTTTTAAAAAGAGCTCTGAATTCTGTCAGATACCATGAAAGTTTTTGCTATAATAATAATAAGCAGAATTCTTGCCCCGGCAGGTTTGACTCAGTGGTGAGAGCATTGGCCGGCAGACCAAAGGGTTGTGGTTTTGATTCCCCTGAAGAACACCTACTTCAGTTGCTGGCTCCACTCCCCACCCTGTCGGAGTGTGCTGGCGGGGAGTGGAGCCAGCAATACTGAGTGTGAGACATCAGTATTTTTCTTTGTTTCTCCCCTCCCTTCCACTCTCTAAAAAAAAAAAAAAATCAATGAAAAAAAGATCCTCTGGTGAGGATTAAACAAAAAAAATTCTTGGTCTTTTCTACTCTTCATGTTGATAAACAATCAGTCATTGATGATAAAAGTTTGGGATTTTAAGCAGCTTTGACTAAATCAGGCAATGTAAGGCAACTTTTTTTGTAATTGAAATATTCTCAAATAAATTTTAACTTCTTTAAAAAATGGAAATCCACTTTATTAAAAATCTAAGGCGCATCACAACTATATATTGCAACTATAAAAATAAGATGCACAGATTATTGATCTTCAAATTAATGTTCCTAAAATAGATAATTAGCTGGTAAATCCTGTTGATCCATCAATATACTGCTGATTGTTCCTGCAAAAATGTCTCGTGCTTGCTTTTTTTAGAAACTATGTAAATAGGTAGACAAGAAGAGAATAAGGTAATGTACATTGATGCCCATTGTCCTCTTTTGTAAAAATTAGTATTATAATATTTGACTTAGATCCAAATAAGAACAATTCAGGACTTCTGTGCATTTCCTGATGCTATTGCCCTCACTCCTTGCCAGCATAAAATTCAGTAATCACCCTTCCATTATGTGCTTAACTCTGGAAACTTGTAGTATTATTGTGGAAGTTTTAAAATCCTATATAATAAAGAGCTAATATGCAAATGAGTCAATCAGGAGGAGGCTGCGTGTGCAGCAGGCGCACATGGGTGGGCAGGGCTATGCACAACTGGTCACCAGGAGATGTATGGAGAACCTCTTGGTTCCTCCAGCTCCTGCTGGAGAAGGCAGAGGCTCCCTCCTGACTCCCACAGGCAGCAGAGGCTCCCTCCTAGGGTGCCGGGGGCTTGCTCCCACCTCTCTCAGAAGCAATGCGGCTCCCCACAGCTCCTGCTGCAGGCGGCCTGTTGCGTGCAGTTTTGTGCACTGGGCCACCAGTATTCTACAAGAGGACATACTGTGCATACTATTCTTGAATCTGCTGTATTTGTTTTTTGAGACTTGTTAATCCCAGTCATTTGTCACAAATTAGTACCATCAATTCATTAATACCTGTTGAGTACTTTTTACATACAAACACTAGATCCAGTCTGTGGGCATCTAACGCTGAATGAATATAGTTCTACAGCCACTATAGTATGGTTGCAAGCATCAGGTCTTCTTATATTTACTCTGTTTTTCCCCATACATACACAGCTTTTCACTGGAAGCACTTTATAGCTTTTCTTTGGCATATCTAAATTGCTGGTATTGCTACACTCATTCTTGGGGGCCATTAGTAAGTAAACTAAGGGTTGCTTGAACAGAAGTACTGTGACTACAGTGGTTGATCTGATAACGGAGATGGGTGTTTGGTGAATAATAGGCAGGGAGCATATACAATGTGGATACACTGGACAAAAGGGTGATTCACATCCAGGTGGGACAGAGTAGAATGGTATGAGATTTTATCAGACTACTCGGAATAGCACATAGTTTAAAACATGAATTTTTTATTTCGGAAATATTTTCATTTAATATTTTTGGACCTCAGTTGACGGCATTATTGAAATCATGGAAAATAGAACTGGATAAGGGGGCCATCAGCTTAGCTTTTTAAAAAGTAGAAGTGGAGCTGGCCCAGCTGGCATTGCTCCGTGGTTGAGCATTGACCTTTGAACCAGGTCCGATCCTGTCAGGGCACATGCCTGGGTTTCAGGCTCAGTCCCCAGTGTGGGGCATGCAGGAGGCAGCTGATCAATGATTCTCTCATCATTGATATTTCTATCTATCTCTTCCTTAAATTTATATATATATATATATATATATATATATATATATATATTTTTTTTTTTTTTTTTTTTTTTTTAAGTAGAAGCATGGCTGGAAGACTCCTCCAATCCACAGACCTATAGGAGCTTTAAAGTACTGCTTTATTTAACAGGTCTAAAATCTCTTTGGTTACTAACTACTTTATAAGCAGTATTGTAGATAGGGGTACATGTATTTGTTAGCATTTGCCCAACACAGATGTGTGAAGTCTACTCTTTTATTTTTTTAATATATATTTTTATTGATTTCAGAGAGGAAGGGAAAGAGAGAGAAACATCAATGATGAGAGAGAACCATTGATCATCCACTCCCCGCACGCCCCCCACTGGGGATCAAGCCCACAATCTGGGCATGCGCCCTTGATTGAAATTGAACCTGGGACCCCCCAGTTTGCAGGCCTAGGCTAGACCAGGGCTGAAGTCTACTTTTAAGAGAAAGATCCTCTCATGTTACAGAGTCATATGTTACAGGCATTTTAAAATTCTCAATACTTAGCAATGTACCTGATGTTAACTAGGTTATCTATAAAATAAATTATGTGTGCGAAGTAATAGTTGCCATTGGGTAATTGAAATATCTTCACCAGCCAAATACTGTAGAGAAAGTGCATTACCTGTTATTTCACTTACTTTTTTTTCATTGTAAACTATGAAGATGATAATATACAACCCTCTTTGCAGATGAGGAAATTGAGGTTGAGAATGAAAGTGCATTTTCTATACTTTAAGCTCTATTCAAATTTGTTATATTAGTGATAAAAGTGGAATTTGGACCTAGGTCATTGGGGCCCTTGGGTATGTAGATTGTTTGAATAATACACACAGATTACAAACTACTTAAATCTCTTGATTCTGCTTACCACTGCAATTCAGATGCTTTTGAAATGACTGCCACTTTTTGTCCTTCCCTGTAGCCATTGGCTGTAATTGTGAGGCCAAGAAATTGCACACTCAACAGGAAATGGAAGGGAGACCAAAGTAGTCAGAGTCTCTTACATAATGTTTTCCAGGACAAATCAGTTTCTTCTCTCTTCCCAGGCTCAGCTGACTGGACCATGCACCTGTTATGGAGGCTTTCTGAGTTAACGAGGAGGGTGGGGCAGGTTGGTTGGTTATTGTAATATGAACCATCTCTTAGGGTTATACCTACTTTTCAAAGCAGAGCACAATTCAGACCTTCTTGAAGATTCTAGACTGGTTGAATTCCAGAATAACGGGAAATAGAGGTATAGCATGTACTTAGTAGTACTTTCCTTTCCATTGTTTCCTTCAGCGAAGCAGCTCCTTATTCAGCCCTCAGAGCCTCACTCCTGTCGAGCCCATAAAGCCAGGCTCGCTGAGCACACAGCAAGCAGATGCTTTACCATATATCAACCTGATACAGAATTCTAAGGGATGAAAAGGCAAGAATTGCCACAAGTTGCATATGGTACACAATGGCAATGATTTCTGCCCTGCTCCATCTACAAAATGAGTGTGCCACTTGGACTCTCATTGCAATAACAAAGTGTGTTAACAGCAAACACCAAATGACCCCTCCAAATGGTTTGTTTGGCTTTGTGTGTGTGTGTGTGTGTGTTGAGATAAAATTGGTATATAATGTTATATTAGTTTTAGTTGTTCAACATAATAATTCAGTCTTTGTATACACTATATAATGATCTCCAAAATAAGTGTAATTACTACCTATCACCATACAATTGATCTCCTTTACCTATATCACCCATTCCAGCCCTTTTCCCTT